AGCATTAATTTGACCATGTAGCTACATGCAGCATTAATTTGACCATGTAGCATTAATTTGACCATGTTGCTACATGTAGTATTAATTTGACCATGTAGCTACATGCAGCATTGATGTTAACCCTGTAGCTACATGCAGCATTGATGCTAACCCTGTAGCTACATGCAGCATTGATGCTAACCCTGTAGCTACATGCAGCATTGATGCTAACCCTGTAGCTACATGCAGCATTGATGCTAACCCTGTAGCGACATGCAGCATTGATGCTAACCCTGTAGCGACATGCAGCATTAATGTGACCATGTAGCGACATGCAGCATTAATGTGACCATGTAGCGACATGCAGCATTAATGTGACCATGTAGCTACATGCAGCATTAATGTGACCATGTAGCTACATGCAGCATTTATGTGACCATGTAGCTACATGCAGCATTTATGTGACCATGTAGCTACATGCAGCATTTATGTGACCATATAGCTACATGTAGCATTAATGTGACCATATAGCTACATGTAGCATTAATGTGACCATATAGCTACATGTAGCATTAATGTGACCATATTGCTACATGTACTATTAATTTGACCATGTAGCTACATGTTCTATTAATTTGACCATGTAGCTACAAGTAGCATTAATGCTAACCCTGTAGCTACATGTAGAATTAATTTGAATGAGCGTCGGTACCTCCATGCTCGGACAGTCGGCTTTGCTGCGGATCAGAGTTGTCGGGATGTCGGTGTCGGTGAACTCGTCGTCCAGGTCGACCACGTACGCCATCCTGCCGGGCAGGAAGAGCTCGTTCCTCTCCACCTGACCCGTCCTGAACACCACCCGGTAGATGTTCCTCCCTGAGATAGTTCATATATGTTGAGGAAAACATCAGCAGAACTTCTTCTTCCTAAATATTACAACTTTAGTCTGGAGATATTAACGTTGTCTTCATTTTAAAACAAAAACAATCATCATCATCACAATAACTTCAGAATGAAACCAGACTCACCGAGACGAGTCTTGAACTCGATCTTCTCCTCCGGCTCCACGTCTTTCCTGAAAGGTCAGACAGACAGGTCAAATGTCAGACAGACAGGTAATATTCATCGGTTCTTTCGTAGAAAACTAACTTTACTGTGAAGTTGATTTGTTGTTGACTCAAATAGAATGTTTTAATATCTGGTTTCATACTTGGCCTCTTTCTGGACTTTCTCCATCATGTCTTCTTCTTCTCTCTCTTTACTGGTGATTTCAGCTCTGACCTGTAAAAAACACACACACACACACACACACACGCACACACACACACACACACACACACACAGAGACTATTAGCCCTTGTATAACCCTTTTATAGCAGCTGCTTGTTTGCATCTAGGTAACAAACTGCTACAAATGCATAGCTCTACAAAATAAGCTACTTCAAAATGTTTATCTGGAGCTACATGCAGCATTAATGCTAACCCTGTAGCTACATGCAGCATTAGAGCTAACCATGTTGGATAAAGTGTGAACACTCACCTTCTGCAGCAGAGCGAAGTCTAGACCTTTCACCAAGTGAGTGTGCTCCATGTCACCTCCCAAGAACTTAGACTCCTGGATCAGCTGACGCCGTTTCTCTGCTGCTGACTTGTCTCTGAAACGAACACAAAAAATATACAAGTATTAATTACAAATATATGTACGTCACATCGGTGGGTCCTACAACTCTGTGGTTAGCTGTGCTGTTAGCTCTGTTAGCATTAGCATTATTCACGCCACAGCGGTGGGTCCTAAAGCTCTGTAGTTAGCTGTAGTGTTAGCTCTGTTAGCATTAGCATTACTCACGCCTCAGCGGTGGGTCCTAAAGCTCTGTAGTTAGCTGTAGTGTTAGCTCTGTTAGCATTAGCATTACTCACGCCTCAGCGGTGGGTCCTACAGCTCTGTAGTTAGCGGTGGTGCTAATCAGCTCGGTCTCCTCGTAGTCTTTGTTGACTCCATCTCGTCTCTCTCTCGCTCGGTCTCTGTACTTCTCAGCCAGCTCTCTCTCTCGCTCCATCTCCTGCTGACGTAGCTTAGCATAGTAGCTGCAATGAAGAAATAATGACAATGGAGACATGATCGGATTAAACAAAGCTCAGGATGATTATCTAATCAATAAGACTTATTATCTCATCAATAATCACCTTTTCTTCTTCCTCCTCCTCGCTGCAGGATCCTCATCCTCGTTGTAATCCCTCGGCATTCTGGGAGATAAAATAATGATCCAGTTAATTCCTTAATCATCATCATCATCTTCATCATCATCGACATCACTCACTCATGGTGTCTGGACTTAGAGGGCGGGGCCGAGGAGGGCGTTGCCCTTGGCGTCATCAGCAGCTTCCTGAAGTCATCATTGGTCAGTTTGGACCTGGAGAGTTAATGAGAGAATGACTACAACGTGTCGGCCATGTTTCCATGATACTACTACAGAAACACACAAACTGTGTAATAATACTCACTGAGCAGCTGCTCTGTGGTCGTCCAGCTCATGGCCCTCAGGGGCCAAAGGGTTGGAGTAGCTCTCAGCTGTACACAGAGAACAGTAGTATTTACATAGTAGTATTAAAAAGTACCTCTGAGTTAGTGCTGGGCGGTATGACCAAAAATGCATATCACGGTATTTCGTAAGATTCTGGCGGTTTCACAGTATATCAGGTATTTTTTTTTCTTTGCGTTAACGCATTAATTAATTAACGCCGAAAACTAACACAAGAACCGCCGGCCAACCAGCCAGCCGTTTGTGTGGCGTGTCTTCCGTCACTTCCTGTGGCGTGTCTTCCGTCACTTCCTGTTTCCTTCACCTACATTCCCCTGGGTCCTAAGTCCCTCCATGTACAGCTTCTTATCACTCTATGTACCAACGTTTAGAAACATTTATAACAAATACCACACATATTACGGTAATCAGCGTTGCATATGTATCTGACCAAAATATTCAAAAAAGCATCCGAGTACCGTAATTGCATACACTCTTCGTATTCTAACACATGTTTTCGGCTGAGGTGATGGAGAAAATTGCTAGTGTTGCCACCAGAGGCAATAACATCGGCTCGACAAACTTTACAATATATCGTTTTTTGATGTACGTCAGATTTTTTTAAACCAAAAAACCTCCAAACAGCAGACGCAGCTCCTCTCTTGGGCACAAATTGTATTGGTGCATCTCCGGTCTCTCTCTGGTCCTCCTGCATCGCTCTTTTCTGTTCTTTAATGTAGCGACGGAGCTTCTTCTAGCTGTTAGCAGACTAGCTAGCTAACTTAAGACAACTAGCTCCGACCGGTATACCGCCCAGCACTACTCTAAGATGTAGTACAGTAAAAAGTACTATATGTACCTCTAGTAGTACATGTAGTAGTAGTAGTACAATAAAACATGTAGTAGTAGAGCAATGCAACATGTAGTAGTAGAGAAATAAAACATCTAGTAGTACTACACACAGAAGAGCATGCAGCTTTAATTTGTCTGTTTGTTGTGATGCTAAGAGAGGACGGTAGAGCTACGCTAAGCTAACTGAGCCTCGTGCAGAAGGTGACTCAGCGTCTACACTACTTAATACATAAAGACACTTATTAGCTTATTTGTGTTTAGTTTAGCTTTAATCTGTTGTGTCCTTATTAATAAACTTAACCGCATCTATTTAGCTAAACATCGGCTAGCATGGTGATAACGCAGCCTAACGTGTTAGCGTGCTAACAGAGCGCTAGCTAGCAGACTTCTGGAGCTCGAACTCACTTTCCGGCATCTCTGCGGCGGAGCGTCGCGTCTCTTCTTCGGCTGAAGATGAGCTGGTTTCACAGAAGAAGAGGAAAAACCTTGTTGTTGTTTATCGGCGCTGCTAGTGGGTTAGCTTCCTCACAGGAACCTCAATCTGTTGTGACGTCACGTCCTGTTCCGCTCTGATAACGTCACAGTCCGTTTAATAATCACAACAAACATGTTTTTATGTTTATAATGTTTATAATGTTTCACTGAGACAAAGATCATTAAACACGATCAGATATTATAAAGGTACAATTAAAAAATACAGACTTCTAAGTAAAAGTACTGTGTTACAGTACAATATATTTAAAGTATTAAAATGTGACTGTTGTACTATTAAATATTATAAATATGAATAATACATTCACATTATTAACATGAATAATACATTAATATAATTAACATTATTAATAATATATTAACATTATGAACAGCCTCATGATGGCGCAGCAGACAGCTGCCTCGGTGTGTTGGTGCTCATTGTTTTGTGTTGTTTTTGTTGTAAATACTGTTTTCTGCTGTGATACCCGGAGCTCTTTCACCAGAGATGAGCTCATAAACATCAAGGGACGACTCCAGCGGACTGAACCCTTTCCGTAAGTCAGCATGGTATGCTGATTTAGCCTAAGGGAATTACCCACAAATCATTGCAATGTGACGTTAAACACGGGGTAACCAGTGGACGCATGGAGACGTAAAAAAAAGGTAAACAAAGAGGACGGATCACGTGTGTTCAGCCTGTCATAATACATTTACTCAGAAACATTAAGGGTTAAAGATGGAACAAAAAATAAACATGAAATCAGAAGATATGTATTTATTTATTCATCAAATATTTGATTTTGTCATTGAAGCTGTTTTGATAAAAACGAGTAAATAGATTATATAAAATCACCTCATCTTGTGAGGAAAGAGCCTGGAAGACTTTCAAATCAGGGAGTACAAAGTATAAAATAAATACACACAATTATACATCATATTTTTTGTAGTTTTCATGGTAATGTGATATGTTGCAGCAAAGTGCTGTTCCATTGTTATTTACACCATTTCAAGCCCTCACAGTCTCTCCCTCAACCACTTACCAGGTGACGTCAGTAAGTCCTTGAGGGTTCAGGGTTTGAGGGTTTAGGGGGGACATTGGGATCAGGCCAGAGACTTTTCTTCATCCTCCGTTTTGTGCTTCACTGAGACCTGGCTCTGTGGATCCATACCGGACTCCGCGCAGCTGGCTGGCTTCTATGGAGCTAAATCCAGGTCAAAAGGTTTATTCATTTTAAAAAAAAATGAACCTGGAAGTTCAAGTTGTGGTCTTGAACATTCAAAAATACAGCAATGTATTCAAAATAAAAATAAGTGAATGAAACATTTTATTGGGTTGAATATAATTTTGATTCAGTTCTGGAATTTTTTTGAATACAATTTTCTTTTTCATGTTTCACTTTCATATATATTTTGTTATTTGAGGTCTTATATTTTTCAGTTTCAGATTTTATATTTTCAGTTTCAGATTTCAGATCGTTGTTTTTCAGTTCAGACCCTGCAGTTCGGACGTCCGATTTGCACGTCAGGACCGCTACGGGCCTCCAGCAGAGTTTCCTCTGGCTTCGCCCTGCCCAGACATAGTTCACCATCTTTCGGGTCCTATCGCACACACTCACACTCCACCTCCCCGACGTGCATTAGACTCCTTGGTCCGTGTTTCAAGACGGGTCGGGTGGGTTGCTGACATAGACAGACTCCTGACGCCTTTTACTTGAGCCGATCCCTGCTGGTGCAACGATGTGACAGTGATTCTACAGCACTGTTCTCCTGATCTGGAATCTTTCATTATAAACTGTAAACCCTTTTACCTCCCCGTGAGTTCATTCATTCTGGTCAGTGTTTACATGCCGCCGCAGGGCAACGTGCAGGAGGCACAGCGGACACTCGCTGAACAGATAGTGTGTGCGGAGCGGACCAACCCGGACTCTTTAGTTATTGTCCTTGGTGACTTTAACAAAGGAAACCTCAGCCATGAACTCCCTAAATACAGACAGTTTATTAAATGCTCAACCAGAGAGGAGAACATTCTGGACCACTGTTACACACAATCAGCGGGGCCTATCACGCCGTCCCTCGTGCTGCACTGGGACTCTCCGACCACGTCATGGTCCATCTGATTCCTGCTTACAGGCAGAAACTCAAGCTGTAAACCTGTGGCTGCTACCCAATTCACCACAGTCGCCCCCATACGTTTTATAACTTTAATACAATTTAATCATTGTTCATTATAAAAACAATAAGATTAGTTCATTTTATAAAATATGAAACAGATAGTAAGTGAATATTCAAGACTGCCTGAACTGATCATTATTATTATCATTATCCTTATGATTAATAATAAGTGACTGACGTTCCCTGAGCTCTGCTGCCCCCTTCAGGTCTACAGAGGGACTGCTGATGATGAAGGTTCTCCAGGACCAGCTGGAGCCAGACTCGTATTTATTCAACTGATCAACAGCAGCCAATCAGAGGGTTAGGGTTAACCCTAACCCTTAGATATTAAATATTCAACATGAGATCACACCAATAAACCTGAAATTATTGAATCATAAATAAGATGTTAATAATCCTTTCAAACTGAAGGTTCTGTGTATGAAGATTTATCATCAAGTGAGAATAGTCACTTTATACAATAACAATAACATATTTAAGTAAAACACCTTAAACCCCAGTGAATCCACCTCAAGCCCCAGTGAAACCCCTTAAACCACCTTAAACCCCAGTGAAACCACCTCAAGCCCCAGTGAATCCACCTTAAACCCCAGTGAAACCACCTCAAGCCCCAGTGAAACCACCTTAAACCCCAGTGAATCCACCTCAAGCCCCAGTGAAACCACCTCAAGCCCCAGTGAATCCACCTTAAACCCCAGTGAAACCACCTCAAGCCCCAGTGAAACCACCTCAAGCCCCAGTGAAACCCCTTAAACCCCAGTGAAACCCCTTAAATAATCCAGAGAAAATAAAGCAAGATAAATATAACTATAAACAAAGAAGCAGGAAACAGAGTAACATTAATAATAAGGTTTATTCATATCAACACATTTACATACAAACTGAAAAAATGTTTGGACGAAACCACTTCAGGGTTTGGACTGAACCAGAGTCTGCAGAGCTCCAGCCACCTGATCAGCTGACATGTTGTCCACTGAGACGCTGCTCTCTCTCCCAAAATCTGAACACAGAGATCATTATAATTAATAAAGGTATTACTTCAATGAAAGCAATGAAGCGACAGCACTGTAAATGAAAGCAGTTGAAGTAGCGACTCACCGTATCGGGCCCAGACCTGGGCCTGGACTCCAGAACACTCTCTGATCCGGATCGGGAAGTCTGGGTTGGAGGTCTTCAGAGTCACGTAATGCTGCTCCACAAAGTCTCTAAACACAGACAGTTAAAGTCTTTATTGTTTATTATTACAGTTCAATTGGAAAACATTATTTCATAATAATGTTCAGATATTATTCACTATAACTATTTATTTTATCTGACATACAGACGTTTAATACAACTGTTCTCTCTAACTGGACCTCTTTCATTTTAATTAAATACTCCTGATATATATGTATAATATAACTGATGTAGACTAACTTCTGTTTCTATTGTGAAGTCTGAGGAAGAAGTCCAGCTTGTTCTAGGTCTAACGCTAACTGTTAGCTGCTAACAGCTGCTAACTGTTAGCTGCTAACATCCGTCAGAATAACCTCAGAGCAGCTAACAGCCAGCTAGTTAGCTGCTAACTGTTAGCTCTGTTCAGGTCACACTCTACTTCGGTTCTATATACTCACTCTTTGTGCATATATACTGTACTCTTCCGGTCTCACCTGGCCCCTTTGCTGGCCGCAGAGCTCTGACAGAGGAGGACTCTGATCTCTCTGATGTTCTTTAAACCCGAGCTGAGAGCTCTCACCGCTGAGGCCGCCATCTTAGCTTCTGTCTGTCAAGGACGGCGCGAGGGTTAAAACAGCCCGGGATCAGGCAGCTCATGGGGGATTGAGTCCTGAGTTCATCCTCGCAGGCATCAAATGATCAATAAAGTAAATCAGTCATTATGCTGAATGATACATATTGTATTCATGTATTCATTACTTTATTGTTTCAGCTGGTGAAGGTGGAGCTCATTCTAATGGCTTTATATATTTATAATAAAACATAATTTATTAATGGATTATATTTTGTTTTAGTGACTAAAGTTATTATATAAATGGAGTTCAGTAGAAAGTACAATGTGTACTTTTAAGATGTAGTGAAGAAGTAGAAAGTAGCAGTTAAAGGAAATACTCAAGTAAAGTATAAGTACCTCATACTTGTACTTGAGTAAATGTATTAAATTACTTTCTAGTTTCTGTTACCATCTTCTTCTATTGTTCTTCATCTCAGAGAGAAACATTCTACTTTTATTTAAAAAATGTTTTTTTATTATGAAATATTATATTTAATATGAAAAACACTGAAGAAGTTAAAATTATCCAGATATACATAAATAAAGCTGTTAATACATAAGAAATATATATATAAAATAATAATATTAATAACTTTTGAGCTTGTTTTTAAAGACTATATTGATTCTTCTTCAGATGTTCAGTGTCATGTTTCATGTTTCCTTTGATCCTCAAAGAATCCATGAAGTCGTGACTCATCACATCTGAACTCTGATGTTTAACAGACCAGCAGCTGTTCATGAGAACGAGATGTTCAGACTTTCATTTGGTTGTTTTGTGCAGAAACTGAATACAAAACAGATACATTCTGTTTTAAGGTTTTAATTAAACCATTTTCTTTGTTTTTGTTCAGATGAAACAAACCAGATGAAACATGCTAATTTATTATAATTGCTAGGTGGTTACCTTCATACAGAGCCAGGCTAGCTGTTTCCAGTCTTAATACTAAGCTAAGCTAGCTGTTGAACTGTCCCTTTAACACGAGTCGTGATGACATCATCAGCTGGATGAGACTTTGCTTTATTCATAAACAGGATTATTTGTTACATCGTGAACATTCTGGTTGTATACGGTAAACCTTTGATCTTTATTCTACATTTGAGGAAACAATGAAGGTGAAGTCGGTTGTTTGTCTCGTCGGCTCTGCGGTCGGTTTCTCGTTAAGAGTTCGTTAGCGTTAGCGGAAAGTGAGCAAGCTGCACATGCATCATCACGAGTGAACAACAAAAATAAATGAAATGTTTTATGTGTTTTTATAATCCCTGTTTCCTGTCAGTCCGACCTTCTCTGCTCCTCACGAGATCCTTCCGTCGTTTCTCGTTCAGAAGCTGTTGGATTCGTTTGTTCTGCGTTCGTTCGCCGATCGGAGGCATCCGCACAAACTGGTTCTGTCCTCTGGTTACGTCACCGTCCAATCCCACGACCCGGTATGGGACCTCGTCCACCGAGTTGTTCGGGAAGGAGGACGAGGTCGCTTCTGTTTGGAGGCTCCTCCCCCCTGATGATGACGTGGCGGTGATGATGTCATCAGGGTCAGCGGTTACTGGGGGCATTGTGGGAGATTTCTTCTTGAATAAATGTGGGGAAGCAGTTTTTCTTGGTCGCCTTGTAGTAGTAGCAGTAGTAGTAGTTGGAATGATAAGAGTATGCTCGTAGGACGGGTACTCGTTATAATCGTCGTACTCCACGTACACAAAGTCGGTGCTGCTCCTGCTGGTCGGGGGCGGAGTCACAGCGACGGTGGGAGGCAGCCTGCTGCTGCTGATGATGATGTCACTGGTGACGTTGCCGTTGTCGGACGCTGATGTCATCGTCTCCATGGTTACACTCCAGGAACTACAAGACAACAAAAACCAGAAGATCAGTGACATCAGATCACTTTAAGGTGCGGTCGAGCTTTTAGTGGAACGTTCCGACTCCAACCTGTCGGCCGTCGGCGGGAAAATGCTGCTGAAGTTGCTGGAATTGGTGGAGTTGCTGGAGTTGCTGAGGTTTCCCTCGTTGCAGGACTTGCAGCAAATCTGACGGTAACCGGCGATAGAGCAGTACCGACTCAACACCTCCATCCGGCAAAACACCGAGCGGTCACCACGGCACCGCTGCCCTGGAGACAAGATGGACCACCGGAGCAGAACAATGTGATCAGGTTCAGGTTTATTTATCTATTCATCTAACATTCACAATGACTGCAAAGGAGGATGAGGAGGACTATGTGTGATTTACTGGAGGAGATCTTTGGAGCTGGGAAGCCTGGGTTGGACCTGGACAGCCACTGAATGATGACATTCTTCTGGTCACCTGCAGGGGGAGACAACCACACAGTTAGCTTACACACAGACTACATCTCCCAGCATGCCTCCCACTCCGTCAGTGCACATTTATCTGGTATGTGATGGGTCGATGCCTACCGCTACAGGGGGCAGGATGGCAGGTGCGGGTCTTGATTGGTGGAAAATCACTACAGTTACGGGCTAAACCCTCAGGACTCAAACATGCAACCTGACGCTCCTGAGTCCCATTTCCGCAGGATACTGAACACTACAAACACAAACATATTGGTCAAACTCAGTTGTTCAGTTTATAAACTGATCAGTCATTGATCTGGATTCAATGTTTATTATGGCCAAGTCAGGTGGTAGTCCTGAAGGAATTAGATTTAGTCCTGAAAGGAGGAAGTGAGGTAGTTTAGATACAAGAAAGGTAGAGGTAGACAAGAAAGATGGAAGTAAAAGTAATCCATAAAGAGGAGGTAGAGGTGGTCCAGAAGGAAGGAAGTGAGAAGTAGTCCCTAAAGAATGAAGGGGAAGTAGTCTAGAAAGAAGAAAGGTAGAGGAAGTCCGAAAAGAAGGAATTTAGAGGTGGTCCAGAAAGAGAAAGGTAGAGGTGGTCCAGAAAGAGAAAGGTAGAGGTGGTCCAGAAAGAAGGATGTAGAAGTAGTTCAGATTGGAAGCAGTTAAAAGGTACTTAAGGAACTTAAAGGTATTCCAGAACGAGTGACGAAGGGGTAGTCCAGAGAGATGGAGGCAGACATAGTCCAAAAAAAGAGAAGGTCAAGGTAGTCCAACTGGAGAATTGCTTGTGGTAAAATGACTTTGTGACTTTGTTAATGATTCCAGTCTTCGTACCGGGGTCCAGGGCCCAACTCTCCAGGAAGCTGGACACGGTAAACGATTGCAGGTTTGTTTCACTTCCGGCCGGTCCTCACCACAGAGTTTGCTGGGCACTGAGCGCTGCCCCCTGCTGGACATCTGCTGGCAGGACACCCAGCGCCGCCGCCACCCTGTCTGACCACAGGTGGCACTGCAGTCTTCCCACTCCCCGGTCACCCAGCTGACGAGACAGGAACAGACAATGAACCATGCTTTCTTATTTTTGTTCTTCTTTATTTCCTAGTCAGTGGAGTCTAGTCAATATTGTACAGTGTCTTGATATAATGCAATATTTTCCCTTTTTGAAATATTTTAAATACATTGCCAAACTGAGCTGGATCCAAATTGATCCTGTGGTTCCAGACCAGAATCAGGTGAGCTGTGGTTGTTACCTGGGGGAGCTGCAGGTGTCGCCGTTGCAGGTGCGGCTGATGGCTCTCGGTTTGTTGATGTTGGAGCAGAACGTCCTCTGAACCATCTTCCCGTCAGCTTTTCTCCGGCAGCCGAACCTTGTGTACTGTTTCCCTGTCAACCAGACAAAATACCGTTAGCCACCATTAACCCC